GTTGGTTTAAATTCTGAAGCTCTGTTTTGACTCTGTGCTCTGAGTGGCCTTGCAAAGCTAATTGCCAATTAAGTCTTTGGCAGCGTGTCAAGGGAGATAAAGGTGGGTGCTTATCAGCCTTATCCCGAAGGATTGTGGCAGATTTCTGTCGGACTCTTTACAAACTATTTGTGACTCATCACAGGCTATGAATGAACAGAATTAACAGCCGTTGAAATAAAAAGAGGGTTTTGGGGACTAATTTACTGTCTCAGGAAGCCTAGGTCAGAAAACGCAGGCGGAAAAGGAGGCAGAGGCAGGGAGGATTGTATTTTCTCATATTTGCAAGATTCTGTCAATGTAGTATTACAATAAAGTAGAATTACCTTATCTAGTTATGATTCCTATCTGGTTAACCCCTCAAGGCTGACAACGGATGAGAAAGATTCCCTCAAAAGACAGACATACAAAATTGGCAAAACATAGGTGTTTTTGTTTTACGGGGGATGGGGTGTTGGAAGGGGAGTAAATTTCTACTCCTAATGCAAGTCATAAATTCTAACAGGTAAAAACTATTATCAGTGGCATGCTAATTGATGTTAATAATGAGATAAATCACAGTATTGGTGATATTTTGTTACTACCGGCATCTATATGCTGCTGAATCCAAGGGAGCACCTTGGTCAGGTCTGTAAAAACGCCTGGAGTTCCTCTTTTCTCATACTTCCTTTGCAGATTATAAATCCAGCTTCGAGCACATCCTATGCCCCATGAAGTCACTCCAATCAGGGTCCAAGAACCATGTTCACGTTGGCACACAAGTGAGCCTCCAGAATCCCCCTGCAGGAGAAACATTTTGTTTTTTGCTCCAAAAGGAGACACATCTCAAACAACATTTTAATTATTGGATCTTAAGCACACTTTCTTTTTTGCAAACTGGTGGGACAGCTCATTCCAGCCATGCCACATAAAAAAGTTTCTTAAAACAGGCAGTGTTACCTAGGGGATAAATTATGACAGGACTTAATATCTGAAAGGCTTCACTGAAAAGTTGATCCTGGCAAGGGAGAAGAATCCATGTGAGATCCAGTTGAGTGAGAAAATATAATTGGTCGGTCTTTATCAAGAAATGGATGCCTTTTTGATGCCTTCGCTAAATTTGCAATAAAAATTGCAGGACTGTGGATTAAAGAAGAATGGCTAAACTATTGGATCCTACTGCTCGAATAATACGTCCTGTAAGGATAGGAGTGAATTACTTTGAAATTTGATTCAATAGAAATGTGTAGATGTGGCCAAACCTATTCTCTCTTAATTGTTCAAGGACGCTTCTCTATTCATCAAAAATGCATACTACACCCCTGTTCTATGCAGGGCTCCAATACTGGCCACCATTGCTTTTGAGTTCTATCAACATCCCAGCTGCAAAACTCCCTCTAGCTTGGCCTATGGAAATCTGAATTTCAGTACAGGTAGTCCTCAACTTACTACCGCAATTGAGCCCAACATTTCTGTTGTTAAGTGGGACATTTGTTAAGTGAGTTTTACCCTGTTTTACAATGTTTCTTGCCACAGTTATTAAGTGAATCGTTGCAGTTGATAAGTGAGTAACCCGGTTGTTAAGTGAATCTGGCTTCCCCATTGACTTTGCTTGTCAGAAGGTCACAAAAGGTGACCCCATGACCATGAGACAAGCAATGGTCATAAATATGAACCAGTTACCAAGCATCTGAATTTTGATTACTTGAGCAAGGGGATGCTGCAAAGCAGTGGTGGGATTCAAATTATTTTACTACCAGTTCTGTGGGCGTGGCTTGGTGGGCGTGGCTATGTGGTCATGTGACTGGGTGGGCGTGGCCAATTTAGCAGTCAATTTTGCCAGGGAGCGGGGGGTTGGACTAGATGACCTCTGAGGTCCTTTCCAGCCCTGGATTGCTGTGCTTTTTCAAAGCATCCTCTGAAGCTATGTCTAGTGCCAGCCAGGTTTGTTGTCCTTCCTTCCTCTCCTTTTTCTCCCTCCCTCCCTCCCTCTCTCTTTCTCCTCTCTTTCTTTCTTTCTCCCCTTTTTTCTTTCTTTCTTTCTCCCCTCTTTATTTCTTTCTCCCCTCTTTCTCTTTTTCTTTCTTTCTCTCTCTCTTTCTTTCTCCCCTCTTTCTTTCTTTCTCCCCTCTTTCTTTTGCCCCTTTCTAAAAAAACTTTGTAACAAGAAAATAGCTACCGTGTTTAGAGATAATGGAAGTGGAAGTTGGACGTTCGGCATTTCAAAATCTCCCTGTGGCAAGATTTGGCAGCTAACAAAACACAGTAGTAGAATCAGAATAAGCAGCCTCCACACTCAAGACCCGACAGGACGAAAGTCATTTAGCCACAATGGGAATCACCCAAATCCTTTTAGAAACACAAAGCCCATATTGCACAAACCCCAAAACTTCAAAAACATAGAATCATATAAAAATCTTTCCTCTTATCCAGTTTGTTGTTCAGTTGACCCAGAAACGAACTGCTGAATGTCACTTTGCTTCTGCAATTAAAAACTTCTTCCGAGCAACCTTGGCTTTTAAAGCGACGGCGTCTTGTTTCCCCTCCTCTTCTTCTTTGCCAAGCGATCTCCTGGCTGAGAAGCAAGCCCTGATTTTTTTCCCATCTAACACCTCTCTCCCTCCCTTTCTCCCTCCCTCTTTCTTTCTTTCTTTCTTTCTTTCTTTCTCCCTTGAAGCTACCTGACCTCCCTGCAGCCTCCTGAGAGTTAAAACGGTGTGTGTGGGGACTCCTGGAAAGGGCGGAGTGGGGTGGGGTGGGCGGAGCCAGCCAGAGGTGGTATTTACCGGTTCTCCAAACCAGGCAAAATTTCCCCTACCGGTCTGCAAGAACCAGTTATAACTGACTGAATACCACCTCTGCTGCAAAGGTTGTAACTGTGAAAAAAGGTCATAATTCACATTTTTCAGTGCCTTTGTAATTTTGAATGGTCACTAAATGAACTGTTGTAAGTCGAGGACTATCTGTACTTTAAAACTGTAAATTACATTTGTTCTGGACACTCTTCATCCTGTAAGTTCTCAATGTGTTATAGCACATCTAGAAATTTTAAATAGGCTGGCAAATTTACTTTTATGAGCATAAATGATGATCTCTGAATAAAGGTGGAGCATCATAAATTGTTCCCCAAAATCTTTTATCTTGTTTTGGGCTTTGATAGCATATGTACAAGTATTTCTCTGTGGTTCCCACTATTCCCAGAAGGCAGAAAGGCTGAAAATGACTGGCTACAATAGCTATAATCAAGAGATAATCTCCCCGGGAAACTGAAAAAAACTGAGTCATTGAAGCATTATTATCATTTCCACTACGATACACTAGAATGACTGTCCACTTGCAAAGACTAAAATAGATTGTTCTTATTCACATTTCTTACCAATTTTTAATGCCCTAATAGAAACTACATTCTACCAAGTCAGGTATCTGATTTTTCTAGCTCAGGGCTGACTACATATTCTTCAGTGGCTAAACAAACAGTCTTGCTTTCAATTTCCACCTGGGAATGAACCTGAAATCTTTTATTAATCAGCCATGGCTTTTCCTCCTAAAAGTTTCCTTTGGAATTTTTCTAAAAGTCCCAAAATGGACCTAAAACTACTATAGTATTTCACTACAGTATTGTGTATCATCATCATCATCCACAACGACGTTATCATTACCACCAATACCATCATCATCATCATCATCATCATCATCGTCACCACTGTATTCTCCTTAATAAACCTATTGATATAATCTACCAACCTGGCAAGCATCTTTTCCTCCATCTGGAAATCCAGCACACATTATAGTGTGACTTTGAATAGGCCTCCTTAGAGTTGACAAGATTCGAGAACATTGAGTCTGGTCTAAGATGGGCAACCTGACTTCATGCAGAATGTCAGGGAGGATCCCATCTGAAAACCAAAAAAAGAAACCTTAGGAAGTTGCATCGCAAGTTGTCATATCGTCATATTCCATCAAGCTTGGCGTGCATAAGAGCACCAGGGTGCCTACCGTCCCTGTCCTAATGTTCCCTTTAATTGTATTCATTTTATGTATTCAATTCATGCTTATACTTATATATTTTATCTAATACGTACTCGACAAATAAATAAAATAAATAAATAAATAGGTGTCAGGGGTCTCAAGCCAAGATCTTTGTTTTCTGCCTGATCCTTTTTAAAACTGGAGTTCCAGGGACTGGATCACTAGCCCACAGAGTACTTAATGTGTATTGTGCCATTTTTCCCTCCACAAAACACTCAAGTGTGAATTGAAATGGTGAAAGACTATGATGTGAAGCCAACAGTTTTCCAACTATTTGTTAAATGTGATCACCATTGAAAGCAGGATTTCTAGTCCTAGATGAAAGAAGAACTGAATGTTGAAATATGTGACATCATTGAACATCATTGGATACACACTATTATGCAATCATTTTCATAAATTAAGCAACAGAGTAATAAGCAGATGTTTCTGAATATCTCTTTACTGCAATATCTAATATCTGCTTATATTCGTGGAAATTTAGCCTTAGAATGCACTAGAACCAAGACTGAATTTATTTTGGGACTGAAAATAGTATTGGACATAGAGAGAAAGCATACTTTGATTTTAAATTGGGTTTTAAAGTGGTTTAATGTGGTTTTAATTGGAAGTTTTAATTTTGGCCAAAGATTGAATTGTTTTAATATGTTTTTAAAATTTTGTCTTGTATGTTGTTTTATCATGGCTGTTCACCGCCCTGAGTCCTTTGGGAGAAGGGCGGTATACAAATATAATAAAAACTAAAACTAAACTAAACTTACCCAAAACCTCTTAGCTGCATTTATTGTCACTTCCTCCCCACTTTCATTTTAGCATTATTCATTTTCATTTTTGGCCTCCCACCTTGGCTTCCCAAGGAGGTAAGGGGGGGAGAGGGAGAGAGGGAGAGAGGGAGAGAGGGAGCTGATAGCACACATACATAAATCTACATTTAATAATAACTTCCTTTGAAGCATGAAATATGCTCGAATATATATTTATATATCATTAATTCCTTACTTTCTCTTAAACGACCCCAACCACAAGTGACACATATATATCCTGGATCAAATTTTTCACGTGGGCCAGGAAGACATACTGGCCATACAGCTGCACCTAGCATTAAAACAGATCAAAATTCTGATTACTCTTTTGAATAATAATGTTAATATGGCTCATGCCATATTACAATTTCCTACACCTTGCTAGGTATCAAGAGACCCAGTCTAGAAAGTGATTTCTACAAAAGTTAAAGTATAATTTACAAATGTATAAAATCTAATTTAACACTATGAAATGGAAACACAATTCTATTCCAAAACGGACATCAAAATATAATCCAATATGAAATGCTTCTGTGTTTTTCCTACCTGTAACACCCACATTTTTAAATTTGTTGTCTTCTTCCCATCCACAGTTGGAGTTGTGTAAAAGTACCTGGCTTTGTATGATCATCTAATGATAAACAAGCCAGGCACAAGCGTTTGGGTGGACAACTAGGGTCTTACCTTCCCCTTAGGATGCCTGTTCTCATCACCCACACTTAATCTTTTGCCTCTAAATCACCCACATCTTTCCTTGTCCAGAAAGCAATTAACATAGTGCTCTGTCCATAGCTGCACTGTGGGTGGTGAAGGCAGAGTAAGAAAAGAATGTACATACTGTGCTAGTGGAACGTAATCATGAGACTTCTTGGGAATCAAGCTATGTAAGGATACCGATTACTGACACAACCTACTATGTGCCTAGACTTCCTATACAGAGTAGTATTAGATTGTACAGTAAGTTTTTTTTCCTTTGAGTACCACATTTTTATGTGATGGGTCAGATATGCACACATGCACATGCACACATATGTAGACATGAGGATCATGTAAAACGAGGATATTACCATATTTGAAGTGACCATCCATTTTTAGAAGAGCAATATCATAATCCATTGGTTTCTTCCTATTAAATTTGGGGTGCTTAATTATGTCTTTGACAGGGAGGGTCTGCTCTTCCTCATCTTTCAAACTCAAATCATGTTCTCCAGCAGTGACGGTCAGCAAACGAAGCAGTGATCTACAGAACAATGGGGAGTTATAATTGGGAAAAACCAGGGGTGAAATCCAGCAAGTTCTGACAGGTTCTGGAGAACCGGTAGAGGAAATTTTGAGCAATTCGGAGAACCAGCAAATACCACCTCTGGTTGGCTCCAGAGTGGGGTGGGAATGGAGATTTTGCAATATCCTTCCCCTGGAGTGGAGTGGGAATGGAGATTTTGCAGTATCCTTTCCCTGCCATGCCCACCAAGCCACGCTCACAGAACCGGTAGTAAAAAAAATTGGATTTCACCACTGGGAAAAACTGAAGATGGGTTTCTCAAAACTAACTAACTAAATAATCCTATTTTAGGCAGAGATGTTGTCTATCTATATCTACAATGCATTCAGAAAGTACTCAGACCCCCTTCACTTTTGTCAATTTTGTTATACTGCAGCCTGATTCTACAGCTGTTGAAATTCATTTTTTTCTCATTAATCTACACCATAAATGACAAAGTGAAAACAGAATTTTAGAAATGTCTTTAAATTTATTAAAAAGAAATATTTCAACTGAAATATTCCAGTTGAATTGCCTGCTTGTACCTGCTTACAACACAATGAGCTGCTGTGATTACCCACTGAGTGGAAACAAGGGTTCCTCCACAGAAGTGGTGATTGCTTCTTTTCAAGGAAACCTGTATCACAGAAAGCACATACCACTTTAGGAAATAAACATCTCATAACAGAAAGAGCAGTAGAAGGCAGAATACATAGCGGGGTACAGTGAATATGTAATACAAGTCAACAATGCCAGATTAATGTCATAAATTCATGAAAATAATCTCTGCTGTGCATAATATGAAGCAGAAGTGAATATTAATAGCCATCTTCATTACCATTACCACTGGTAACATTCATAGAATCATGAATATTCAGATGCTCTCAAAGTTGGCCTAATACTATCAATATCTAAATAGTTTTCTTCATATGAAATCAATATCATTGCAATGACTGAACGTATCTTTTTTTCACATTCCCTTCTTCAAGTTTATAGTGAATGAAAATAGTTACAGTAGCAGCATTTGGCAGGAAAAATCCAAAGGGGCAGATTTTAGTAAAAGTAAAGGTTCCCCTCACACATATATGCTAGTCATTCCCAACTCTAGGGGGCAGTGCTCATCTCCGTTTCAAAGCCGAAGGGCCAGTGCTGTCTGAAGACGTCTCTATGGTCAGGTGGCCAGCATGACTAAATGCCAAAGGCACACAGAACACTGTTACCTTCCCACCAAAGGTGGTCCCTATTTTTCTACTTGCATTTTTTATGTGCTTTCGAACTGGTAGGTTGGCAGAAGCTGGGACAAGTAACTGGAGCTCACTCCGTTACGCGGCACTAGGGATTCGAACCGCTGAACTGCTGACCTTTTGATCGACAAACTCAGAGCCTTAGCCACTGAGTCATCGCGTCCCTTCACGGTGATTATAGTACAGCATATCATTTGTCCATGTGAAAATGCCTGAACCTGTCAATCAAAACAGATGTAGTACATTGCATTGTTTGGTATTGCCAGAAGCTTAGAAGTGACAAAGTTCATTTTGGGGGAGGAAAATGTTGGAAACTGAAAAAAAAGCTACACTCCCATTGTAAATCTTTTTTTTTTAAAAAAAAAATTAAGTTATATCTGAACAATGTCTTTCCTTTATGTAACAACAGATGGCCAATAAAAATTGTGGAGGGGGAAGCAAATGGATTGTTTTCTTGTTTGGCATTACCTATGAGATTAAAATTGGATTTTCCAAATGAGTATGCCTATCTCAGTTTCTCATAATACAGACCCAAAAAAAAGAATAGCCATTGTTCATTATTTGCTCCATTGCTCTTGCAAAGCATAACATGCTGTTCAGCAAAAGCATCCATACATAAACAAAATCAAAGATATGCAATAACCTATTTTTTCTTATTAATGTGATAAGAGTGGGAGGAAACAGACTGACCTGCCATGGATGTGATCCTTGTTGTACTTGGCTTCCACCAACAATCCGAGCAAAGTGGTTATAAAAGCCCCATGAATCGCTTCCAAGGACTTTCTGCCCACAACTTGAATCTGAAAAGCATAGAAAAGAGGCAATGTAGAAAACAGGAAGCCTTGGTGACTATTCATCTACATTATTTAGTGACCATGTCTAAATTTAAATTGCCCCCAAGTTATTGAAGTTTTCTAAATATTATTTAATACTAAAGTGTATTTTTAATCATATTATTCTTAATGCAATGGGGAAGATTCAGATAAACAACAGAAATAGAAAGAATTTTCTTCGTTTTGTAGAATTCTGCAGATCAAGTTAAACTATGCTATTAAAAACAATTAAGTAATATCTATATGTGCTCAATTCTAAACACAAATGGCTTAATTTGAAATTCAGTCAGACTAACTTTATGCATGCCAAGTACAAAACAATCACAAAGATCAGACTTACTATCATATTGAATGTCAAGTCTTTATTATCCACATGGACATATTTACATTTATTAACAAATTTAACATTCTGTTCAAGGTGTTATAACCTCAGACCATATAGCAGTGAAATATCACCATGTGGATAGGCCTACTAAAGATAAAATATGAGATAATTACAAATTTTATTTTATATTAATTGAGTATTTAAGCCATCAGTTCACTGTATGGTTTTGGTGTCTCCTGAATCTTCAGAATAAACTGATCCATGAGTAATCAAAATGCAAAGTAACAGGCTGTAAATTTCTGTCTAGTTATGTCCAGGTGATTAAGAATTGTCTTTGTTCCAGAAGAGGAATTTGTGAATAAAAAGGGAAGGAAAGTGATTCTACATTGTTCGATGTCTTCTAAGCCTTTGAACAGATTTTGAAGGAAAAGAAATCAACCAAATTACTTTCCTCTGTTTTCCATGTACCAAATTGTCTGATAGAATCAAGGAGCTTTCCAGATCGACACAATCAGAGATAACCTTCTGCATCTTCATATATAAAATTAATGTTTTTGCATAATAGTCTGTTCAGGATCTACTCCCAGAATCATAATGAAATATTATCTCATCTACAAAAACCCATACCTCAAAGTTAGTTTTTAAGTGATGTGTCACTGCCGCTCATCATACAAGATCTACAGCCTATTCTTTTATTGGTTAGATGTATATTCTACCTTTCTTCCAGAGGCAAAAGATTGCACCCTTTCTCCTTTTTTGTTTTTCCACAATAACCACCCTTTGGCAAAGGATGAGCTGAGAAGAGTACATGGCCCAAAATCATGCAGTGAACTTCCATGGTTCATGGGGATTATAAAACCTCTTTTTGCAGTCCTAGTCCAGCACCTTAACTATTGACCACATTAGTGTCTTTTGAGTAAATATATATATATATATAATAAGGACTGTAACCACTATGAAAATAATAGGGTTCGTTGCATTTTGTCCAAAGTCATCTGAAATAGCTGCCCCAAGAATTTCCCATATGGATTGATCTCAGCCCAGTCGCAGTTCTGATCTCAGCCCAGTCGCAGTTCTGATACCAATTGGTATTAGCTAACAGGGCTAATAAAGAAAATGTCTGACTTTGTGAACAGTTGTATGAATCTATCTTTTTCCTACTCTTGGCTACAGCAGAAATAAGAAAGAACAGCTGGTAAATAAAGTCACTGAGATAAGTAAACATAATATTTACTTGGCCCAATATAAATATCACTATTTTTACCTTCTGAAAATGATTAGCAATAAAGATGCAAATGGAACCATACCTTGTTGGAGAGCCATTGATGGACAGCTTGTTTTTTGAAGATAGACTGTTCCAAGTATAAGTAGAAGGAGATGCCCTAAAGCCACTGGCATGTTCAAGCTGTAGCTATGTTAAAACAGCGTGGAGACCTTTATAGTAGTCAAAGAGAAACTGTAACACAGTAGGAGAGCACCAACTCGTTCATTAAAGTGCAGGTTACTCATTAATTCAGCTGTAAAGCTTTTAACCAGGCACTAGTAAATTTTTCACATTTAGCCAAGCCTGATTCCTTTCCAATTTCTCAGGAGACTGAAGTTCTTTACTACTTGATGCTAAACCTGAATCTTTCTCAAAGTGTCTATACATTAAAAGGAACAATAAAAAGAGGCCTCCTAGCTAGCTATCACATAATGGCCTCATGCCAATGTAACTGATGATTAACAACTCTGATTTCATTATAGTTGTTTCCAAGGGTATCCCATGTTATTTAAAAAAAAGGAGAGTTAATTTTCTGTATTTAAAGATCTGACAGCAAAGGAAACCGTTCATGGTGATGCTTTTATCTAAATACAGCCTCTCCGCTCTCACCACTGGCTAGGAATTAGGAGAGGTGATGCCTTTGATGTTCTGAGGCCACAGGTTTGGAGAAGATGAACTAAGAACTATTCTGTAGGTAAATTTCCAAAACGAGATGGTTAGAACTGCCATTTAATAGTGTGCTTTCTATGGAATTCCTATTGAAATCATTATGCAAAATAAAAATCTAGTTTACCTTTCATTTTTGTGGAGAGTATTACTGTTTTTAAAAGCCATTAATAGGCATGCATAAGAGTTCAAGAGAATAACAAAAATGTTTCGGTTGTTATGAAAGAGCTTCAGGGTCTTTTCTCTTCTTGCCCCATCAAATACTTTTGCGTGCTAGTGAGTTTCATGTGCCAATCAATTACCATATTTTTCGGACTATAAGACGCTCGGACTACAAGACACACCTAGCTTTTGGGGAGGAAAACAAGAAAAAAAAATCTACCTCTGCCTCCCAGGAATTTGTGTCCTTGCAAACAGCCTGGTCAGCTTCAGCACAGCCTTATTTAGCACAAGCAGCTGATTGGTGGTTGGATCTGCCTCCCAGAATACCACCTATCAGCTGTTCCAGGCTGCAGGGATTGCTGCCTTCGCACGCCCCATTTTTGCCTCCATGCATCCCCTTTTCGGCCTCTGCGCATTCAGCTCATTCCAGGCAGCGGGGATCGCCGCCGCCACCTATCCCTGCCACCTGGAACGGGCCAAAAATGGGGCATGCTATCTATTCATATGAGCACAAAAACGGTTTCCTTGCCATTGGGACCCCAAGTCTTTTGCTTCCAATGATTCTGATGAATAAGATGATAGTTGTGTCTTTTCCAGAACCTTTTTTTCTCCAACATGGCAAAGTAGAACATCCTGAAAAAAATCTAGAAGCATAAATTGAGAGCGAAGCAGTGGTGAAATCTTGCCAGTTCTGTCTGACTCGCACAAGGAAGTAACCCTTTTTTGTTTTTTGTTTTTGTTTTAAATATACTTTATTAAATTTTCCATTATAAAAGAAAATATACAATCTCTATTTCCTTCAGAGGTACAGTGTTTATACAATTTACGGAATCATACGTTAAATAAACTACATCCTTAGCTGTACAATATTCTATGCAATATAGCTCGTATTTCGAGTGCATAACAAGTCATATCCTAAAATCATGTTTTTGTCTTGTTCTTCAACCAATTGTACTAATTTCCCCATACTTCATAATATTTAGATTTGTCCTCATTATTTATCTCACTCGTCAATTTTGCCATTTCTGCGCACTCTAGGATTTTGTTTATTAGTATTTCTTCTGAGGGTATGGATTTATTTTTTACCTCAGTAACCCATTTTTGACCTTCTGTGCATGTGCAGACATGGCTGTCTTTAGAAGAGCATATGACGGCCGTGGCCAGGGGGGCCTTTTATCAGGTCCGCCTGATTTGCCAGTTGCAGCCCTTTCTGGACCGGGACGCCCTGCGCACAGTCACTCATGCCCTTGTTACCTCCCGGTTGGACTACTGTAATGCTCTCTACATGGGGCTCCCCTTGAAGAGCACTCGGAGGCTCCAACTGGTCCAGAATGCGGCTGCGCGGGTGGTTATGGGTGCAACCCATTGCGCCCACGTGACACCCCTCCTGCGCGAGCTGCACTGGCTCCCAGTGGTCTTCGGGTGCGATTCAAGGTGTTGGTCACCACCTTTAAAGCGCTCCATGGCATAGGACCTGGGTACCTTCGAGACCGTCTTCTGCCACTAATAGCCTCCCACCGGCCAGTCCGCTCCCACAGAGAGGGTCTCCTCAGGGTGCCATCGGCCAAGTCATGTTGGCTGGCGACACCAGGGGGAGGGCCTTCTCTGGGGAGCCCCAGCCCTGTGGAATGAACTGCCCCCGGAAATTCGTAAGATTTCTGACCTCCGGGTATTTCGCTGCGCATTCAAGACCCTATTGTTCCGCCAGGCTGGGTTAGCAACATAATTTTAAATTGGATGTTTTAAATTTTTGGGGTTTTAAATTAAGCCAAATTTATTTAATACTTTTAAATTATTTTAAATTGATGTCTATTCTGTTTTTAAATAGGCTGTACACCGCCCTGAGTCCTTCGGGAGAAGGGCGGTATAGAAATAAAATTATTATTATTATTATTATTATTATTATTATTATTATTATTATTATTATTATTATTATTATTATTATTATTATTATTATTTGCGTATGCACAGAGGGTCAAAAATCAGACCTGACACGCATTTCCGAACCAGTAGGGAAGTTAAATAGATTTCACCCCTGTAGCAAAGATACTGATAGCTAATTAATTAAGGAGTGAACTGCCTCTAATCCTGGAGCCAACATGGAGCCTGTAGGCACTGAATGTGTATGCTACTAATTTGCCTTTTACTTGATTTACAGGGGAGAAACCTTTAAGCAAACAGACTAATATAGGTGAACCTGAGCTAAATAACTGTACCTCTAATCTCTAATATTGATTTGATATGTATAGTATAAAAATCCTCACAGTGAACGTGACATTTAGGTACATTCTTTTAATCAACACATCGTAAATATTCTTACTCCAGAGCTATTTAAGGCTCTGTTATAGATAGAGTTTAATAAAAGAGACTGAACTACAAAGATAAAGTAATAAGCGAGTGGATCTGTTCCTTCTACTGACATGAAGAGGGATGCAAAGTATCAGGATTAGAGTTAGTAATCATGGAACAAAGAAACTCTATCCTTTTATAGATTGGTAACTGATTAAAATAAAACAAAACAAAAGGGACTGCAGGTAGCCCTCGTTTAGCAACTGCCTCATTTAGCAACCATTCATAGTTACAACAGTAATGAAAAAAGTAGTTTTGTGACTAACCCTTGCATTTTTTACTTTCGTAGGTCTGTAAAGCAATGGAAAGCTAAAGCTAAAGCAGTTTTCAGGAGTCAAAAATTGACTCAAAAGCATTTTTTTAAAAAAAAACCTGATTAATCTTTCTGTGTATGGAAGCTGAATGACATCAACCTGATCAGTACTACTTAAATGACAGAACACCAGAAGGCGTATTCATTTTAGTTTAACTAGACTTTTAGTCTACCTTTATTATTACGCATGGCAACAGACATACCTAATACTCCTTCCTCTTCCCATTTTCCCCACAACAACCACCTTGTGAAGTGAGTTGATTTGAGAGAGAGTGACTGACCCAAAGTCACCCAGCTAGTTTTTCCATGTCTAAAATGGGAGTAGAACTCACTGTCTTCTGTCTATGGAGATTCTCAGTCATCCAGGTCATGGTTGTCCCAAAGGTGCTTTTTCAAAAGGCAACTGAACTACCTTTGTTTTTGCTTGAAGACATTTTGCTTCTCTCCAAAAAGCTTCTGAGTCAGAAGTTTCTTGAATGTGAAGTGAAACATCTTCAAGCAAGAACAAAGGAAGACCAGTTGCCTTTTTAAAAAGCACCTTTGGATCACTGTTTCCTGGTTTAAAGGCCCGCATCCAGTGGTGGGTTGCCCCCCAATTCGCACCGGTTCTATAGAACCAGTAGTAAAACTGGTGGGAGGCTCTGCCCACCGATCCTGACATCATCAAAACGTTTCTGCACATGCACAGAAGCTTCTGTACTTTCGCAGCAGCCCTGCTGCGAACTGGTAGTAAAGGTAAGTAGAACCCACCCCTGTCCGCATCATAGAAAATTCCAGGGCTGAAATTCAGCAGGTTCTGACAGGTTCTGAAGAACTAGTAGCGGAAATTTTGAGTAGTTTGGAGGACCGGCAAATACCACCTCTGGCTGGCCCCAGAGTGGGATGGGAATGGAGATTTTGCAGTATCCTTCCCCTTCCACGCCCACTAAGCCACGCCCACAGAACCGGTAGTAAAGAAATTTGAATTTCACCACTGCTATGAACTACATGAAAAGTTTTTTTTTTTTAAAAAAGGACTAAGGTGACGAAAAACACTTCTGTACTTTTGCCAGGAATACTGCCTGGATGTTTTCAAATTCAGTCCAAAGGAGTCTTTATTATTTACTGGCGGAGCTTTTATCTAAAAGATGCACTATTCATTCCCCCTCCCCCCCAAAATAAGTTTATTCTAATTTTTCCTCAGGAATGGGTAAAAGTATTTGCAACTTTCCCAGGGATGTCTATGATTTTTTTTAAAGGGGAATTGCTATGCAAAGAGCACTGCCACTGTAATTTTATGAGGCCAGTTTCTTTTCAAATGGAATGTACAAAAAAGGCTGACCTTTTAAAAACAGTCAGGAATTCCTGTAACATAGATCTCTATTTTTGAGAACTGGATGACAAAGAAATACGTCTCATGGGATTCCTCTAAACTTTCCAGAAAACAATCATAGTTGTCATTGACAATTTTGTAAGCATAATGCAACTGGGCCAGGGGTGTTGTTATTTTTTAAGTCCACATCACAATCATCTTTAGAGATGTCTGTTCCTCCTTACTGTTTATAATACCTTTATGCAGTGGAACGTTTCCATATCTGTTTGCCTTATTGAGAGATTTGGCTGATTCATTTGATCTGACATGTGAAAATCAGTTTGCTTATTAGATTTTTATCCCACCTTTATTACTTTATAAGTAAC